TTCAAATTTGTAAGATAAAAGACCACTTCGTAAGGTGCCATGAGCACCAATTTTCTATACAACCTTGGATACCACCTTCAGAATAAGGACATTTGAATCACATATTTGTCACCATTGAGTCTATTCTGACTAATGGTGACCCCGATGTGTGCAGATAGAACTGCACTTGCTGGGACAGCAGTAGCACCAGATACAAGACAGCAGCCAGCAGGAGGCTGACCAAGACACTTGAAAAAAAAATCTGCATATGTGGAATAAAAAGCATCTGTAACATGCAAGTTGATGAAGCTAATTTATTGACTTGGCAAGAGCCTAGTGTTCCCAGCAATCCTCCACAGGATAAGGGGGCCTTCAGAATAGAAATCAACTTTCTAACAGATTACCCTTTCAAACTGCTAAAGATCACCTTACCACCCATACTGCTTATTACTCAGACATCCATGAGAAGGGGCAGGTCTGTCTGCCAGTAATTAACCCTAAAAACTGGAAGCCAGACACCCAAACTGACCAAGTCATCCAGTCCCTAAGAGCATTGGTGATGGACCCCCAGTCCAAATAACCCTTCAGGCAGAAGGACCTCGCAGAAGAAAACTCTAAAGACCATAACAATCTTTGTAAGGTTGCTGAAGAGTTTTCCAAGAGATATGGCGGAAAGTGACTGGACTACACTCTTTCACGGTGGACTCCAACACCTGTAAGCACACACCCTCCAGCACGTGTAAGCACACACCCTAACAGTGCCTTCAGGACACCCCTTCCTACCTTTCCCTCACCCCACAAAGCAGGAGTCTATGGAGCATTGAGGGGTGCCACTGCTTGGCATCTGCTCGCAGCAGTTACTAACTTTCTACAGTTTTCTTCATCAAAAAATTGTCTAGGCAACCTGTAAAGAAAGGACTGAAATTGTGTGATATTCTTTTTTTTATAATCGTTTTATTAGGGGCTCATACAACTCTTATGACAATCCATACATATATCAATTGTGTAAAGCACATTTGTACATTCATTGCCCTCATCATTCTCAAAACATTTGCTCTCGACTTACGCCCCTGGCATCAGGTCCTCATTTTTTCCCCTCCCTCCCCGCTCTTCCTCCCTCATGAGCCTTGATAATTTGGCAGGGAAGGAGAGGAAAAATGAGGACCTAATGCCGGGGGTTTAAGTGGAGAGGACATGTTTTGAGAATGATGAGGGCAATGAATGTACAAATGCGTTTTACACAATTGATGTATGTATGGATTGTGATAAGAGTTGTATGAGCCCCTGATAAAATGATTTTTAAAATTATTATTTTGTCATATCTTGTCCTGTCCGACGTCTCCCTTCACCACTTTTCTGTTGTCCATCCCCCAGGGAGGAGGTCACATGTACATCCTTGTAATCGGGTCCCCCTTTCCCACCACTCTCCCTCTGTGCTCCCAGTATCGCCACTCACACCACTGATCCTGAAGGGATCATCCACCCTGGATTCCCTGTGTTTCCAGTTCCTATCTGTACCAGTGCACATCCTCTGGTCTCGCCAGACTTGCAAGGTAGAATTTGGATCATGATGGGGTGGGGGGGAGGAACTGTGTGATGTTCTTAAATAGATAATAATAGAACTGCATTCTGTCCGGTTTCCAAGGCTGTGACCTTTCAGACACAGATTTGAACCTCCAATCTTGATGACTTCTGGAGGTCGGAGGGACCGCTCGCTAATCCTCTGTACGTGCCAAGTCAGGCGCCATGTGGGCCTAAGCTAAAGGTCACTTACCTCATGAATGATATCCCTGCCGGTTTTCCCAACACCAGCTCTAGAAGTGTTTTCTTGTCTCTAGACTGGAAGACCTGGCATGTGGCCGTTATATACCTGGTATGTAGCTTAAGAACATATATCTACAGCCACAGCTCTAAACATAGGAACACTCATTTCAAACAAATCTAATATTGCAACCCTCGGCATGATGGATTGACACAGGGCCTATCCTAATAAACTCAAATATAAGGATTATGAGGACGGTGCAGGAACTGGCAGGGTTTGGTTTTGTGGAGCACCGTGGGTCAGAATTCCCTCTATGGCACAGAACAACAATAATATCACAACATCTGCATTTCAAGCATATATACTTACAAATACACATGTGTGAGAAATGGCTTACATTGCAAATGAATTCTCTGTGGAATTCCTTAAAATACCAGGTCCTTCATTCCTTTTTTCATCCTGTACAAAATCTTTAAATTTTACTTAGATATAGTTATCAGGTATACATCGATAGTGTGAAAAAATGGACTCTCCTGTATTTATAATGATAGTGGAAAGTAAAATGCATTTCAGTAGAGACTGCTGGCTGGTTTCTTTATTTACTGGATGTGTCCACTGACTTTACGCATTTCTAGCCTTTGAACCATATCTAGTACCCTCATGAACAACAGAGCGACAGTATTCTTGAATACCTTCCAGTTTGACCATGATTAACAGCCTTCTGTAGTAATGAGCATCTAGAAAAGCCACAAACTTTACAAGCCACCACACCACATCTGGAGAGAAGTGAGCTGACAGTATTGTTTTGTGAATGTTCCTGTGTTAGTCTGGGTAGACTAGAGAAACAAATTCATAGACATCCATATGTGTATAGGAAAGAACTTTATATACAAGAGCAATTGAATATTGAGAAAACATCCCAGCCCAGCCCACATCAAGTCCGTAAGTCTGATATTAGCCCATATGTCCAAAACCAATCTATAAGGTTCCTCTTCAGACTCACGAAATACATGCAATGATGCCAAATGCAGGAAGATCACAGGCCAGTGGGTGGGAAATCTTGCGGATACAGTGGCGTTGTAAGCATCTCTGAGCTAGCAGGGGTCTCCACGTGGCTTCTCTATGTCCAGGGCTCTTGCTGCCATCAGCATAGCTCCATGTGTCTTGTCAGTACAGAGTCTCTCAGGGAGTGAGCCAGTGTCCCACCTCCAGCGAGCTTTTTATCTCCTTAGCACCTCCAAATGAGGTCATCAGGCTGTGTGACCTGATTGACAGGCAAACTCCACCCCTTCGCTCATATGGCTCAAATTGGCAACAGATTATGTAACTACCACAGTTCCCAAGGCAATTATTATCTCTTCTACTCAGGTCAATAGCTGTGGGTTGGGGACAGTTTTAAAAAATTTAAATAATGCATTCTGCCTCCTAACACAACAAATATTAATAGACAAAACATTAACTACACTACTGGGAGTGGCAGAGCTATTTTTAGTAATGGTGGCACTCTGGAAAATTTCATCTCTTGATGTGAAACATGAATGTCATTTTTCTAAGGTCATAAATGGCAAATTCAGTCATATTTGTTTGTTTTTCTAGACGGAGTTTTGGCTGCTTTATATTTCTCTAGTTTCCAGGGAGGGGTTTCCTTATCTGTGTGCCCATACTGATGAGAACAGAGCAGGCTGGCCCAACCTAGTTTAGGGTCAGTGGCAAATAACCTCTGTAAAGCCGACAGCAGCAGGGTGCCAACAAAGGTTTCATTTCATGCAATTGTTCCTATTCCTTTAGGAGTTCATGCAAGCTAACAACCTAGCAAAAATAGAAAGAAAACAGCAATTCCACTCTTAACTCATCTTCTACACACACACACACACACACACACACACTCAAAGTTGGTGCACCACAACCTCCAGAAATACAATTGTTCTTGGATCAGAGACTCTGAAGAATTCCAACATCTCCCTGAATCCTTACATGGCCGCACCAAGGGGGCCTGGCTCATGACAGAGACAAAGATGGTGGGGGCTGGCAATGGAAAGAGCTTGTAGTTATTTTTAGATGCAGTCAAGTCAGCCCCCACATGACAGAATAGAAATGCCCCATAGGGTTTTCTAGGGTAGAATCTTTACAGGAGTAAATTAACAGGTCTTTTTCCTGCGGAGCCACTGGATGGATTCAAACTACCAACCTTTCAGTTAGCAGTTGAGTGCTTAACCAGGGGAACAGGGGAAAGAACACTAAACCAAAAATCAGAGACCTTGGCTTTGTTTAGTTCCAGCCAATCTGCTTTGAGACTTAGACACACTAAGTTTTCTGCACCTCAGTTTTCTCATTGATAGACTAATAGTCGTTTTCTCACACACACAAACAAAAGCATTTTCCTACTTCCAGGTAATAATATGCATGTTCTAATGAGATAAAGAGACTCAAAAATACTCTGTGAATGTATAGGTTCTTCACAATGCAATGCTTTGCTTATTTGTATGTATCTCAACTTTGTGAAGTAATAGAAAATTGAAGACTAAAGGTTATGAAAAAGTGAGCAAAGAGCCAAAGAGCAAGACTAATTTCACACACACCTCCTCCCACTCGCTTTATGTATATACATATTTATGATACATATATTTCACATGTCTATATTTATAAACTTTTTATATCTAAACATATGATGCACACACTTCTTTCTCAGATGCCTCCTGAAAAAAAAAAGTAATAATGGACCTAAAATTTCCATTATAATGATAGATAATTACACATATTCAACCACAGTGAATAGCTAAATTAGATAACTGAAGACCTATTGAGTTTTGGTTGTGCTGTTAGGTGCCGCCAACTTGGCTCTGACTCACAGCAACCAAACGTGCAGCAGAACAAAGCACCGCGTCCTGTGCCAGCCTCCCCATTGCTGTTTAAGCGCATGGCTGCTGACACATGTCAATCTAGATCATTCAAGATCTTTTTTTTTTCACTGACCCTTAAGTGTCGGTACTTGTATTACATTATTACCACAGTCATATAACGAAGAAGCTGTTTGCTTCTATAGAAGCTTGAAGTTGGAATCAGCACCATTCATTCCTTCATTCATTCAATAAATCTTTATTCAGTATAAACACGTTCCATGCTCTAGGAATTTGAAAATGAATAAGAAAGACATCGTCCCTTTCTCTGTGAAGTCCACAATCCAATAGGAAATACAGGCACATAGTCCTTTTAGAGTTTAGAATCTAGAAAAACAATGATTGAGGAAATGTTACTCTACCTGCAATTCCCCCTCCATTATACTGAGGAGCTGGATGAGGTCTTCTTTAGATAATTCCAGAGACTTCTTATTCTTGCGTTCACTTTCTCCAGATGGTTTCAGGTGTCGTTTGACAGTTCCTGAGGCCAGGACATCCTCCTCCTTTCTGTTTGATTTATTCTTCTTTTTAGCATTTTCTGAAAGACTTTTATCATCAGCATTGCTGCTGACTGAGGACTTGGGGCAGGAGATATGCCCGTTGGATGAACTCTCACTACCTTGGTTTCTGGATCTCATTCCCACCTACAACACATGAAAAAGATAAGATGTTCTTAACAACAACTGAAATTATTTTTGTCTAAGTACTTAGAAATTTGTATCAGTCTTACATTAGCAGTAAGAAAATACCGAAAGCTCAATTCTCATTCATTTCCTTATAGCTAATGTGTCAGGAAAAGGTTTTAATGGTTTTCAAGAACTATTGATTCTAATCTGAAAAACACCTCAAGCTCAGTGATGAAAGTTAACATCCTCAGGGGTTAATCATATTAGTGATATGTATCCTTGATGTAGCATGCTTAACCACGAATGACCATTTACCACTGTGGGCTTTCTTCCAAAAACACATAGCTCAGTCTAATAATGAGAAAGAAATCAGACAAACGCAAATTGAGGGACATTCTATAAAATACCTAGCCAGTCTTTCTCAAAGTTGCCAAGGGCATCAAAAACAAAGACGGGGGAAAGAAAAGAGGAAAGAAAGGACATAGTTTTCTTTCTTTCTTTTTTAAATCATTTTATTAGGGACTCATACAACTCTTATCACAATCCATATATACATCAATTGTGTAAAGCACATTTGTACATTCATTGCCCTCATCAGTCTCAAAACATTTCCTCTCTACTTAAGCCCCCCAGCATCAGCTCCTCATGCCCCCTCCCTCCCTGCTCCCCACTCCCTCATGAACCCTTGATAATTTCTAAATTATTATTTTGTCATATCTTGCACTGTCCGACATCCCCCTTCACCCACTTTTCTGTTGTCCATCCCCCAGAGAGGAGGTTATATGGAGATCCTTGTAATGGGTTCACCCTTTCCAACCCTACCCTCCCTTTACCCTCCCAGTATTGCCACTCTCAACACTGGTCCTGAAGGGGTCATCTGCCCTGGATTCCCTGTGTTTCCACTTCCTATCTGTGCCAGTGTACATCCTCTGTTCTAGCCAGATTTGTAAGGTATAATTGGGATCATGATAGTGGGTGGGCGGAAGCAATTAGGAACTAGAGGAAAGTTGTGTTTCATCGTTGCTACATCGCACACTGATTGGCTCGTCTCCTCCCCGAGACCCTTCTATAAGGGGATGTCGAGTGGCCTACAAATGGGCTTTGGGTCTCCCTCCACACTCCCCACCTCATTCAAAATGATATGATTTTTTGTTCTGATAATGCCTGATGAGCACACAATGATATGATTTTTTTATTATTTTATGCCTGATAACTGATCCCTTCGGCACCTCGTGATCACACAGGCTGGTGTGCTTCTTCCATGTGAGCTTTGTTGCTTCTGAGCTAGATGGCCGCTTGTTTGCAAGTGCAAGATATGACAAAAAACCTTCAAGGCTTTATTACCCCAGATGCTATATATTTTGATAGCGGGTCACCATCAGCTTTCTTCACCACATTTGCTTATGCACCTGCTTTGTCTTCAGTGATCGCCTCAGGGAAGGTGAGCATCATAGAATGCCAGTTTAATAGAACAAAGTATTCTTGCGTTGAGGGAGTACTTGAGTGGAGATTCAATGTCCATCTGATACCTTAATACTAAAACTATAAATACATGCACATACGTCTGTTTCGCCATCCTCATATATAAATATATTTATATATGTACATGCCTTAATTTAGATCTCTATAAATGCCCTTTGCCTCCTAGTTCTTTCCTCTATTTCCTTTGACTTTCCTCTTGTCCCACTATCACGCTCAGCCTTAATTTGGGTTATAGTAATTCCTCTCACTTACATTACCCTTGTTCATGCCCTACCAGGTCTCCTACACCCTCCTCACCACCAATTTGGATCACTTGTTGTTCCCTTGCCCCTGAGTTTGTTAACACCACTACCTTTCTACCCACTTCCCCCTCTCCCATGTCCCCCCGGAAATGTCGGTCCGTTGTTTTCTCCTCCAGATTGTTCATTCGGCCTTATTTAGACAGACCTGTGGAGATAACAACATGTACAAAAACAAGCCAGAGAAAAACCAAGCACCAAAATAAAACAACAACAAACCAATGACAAATAACAAAACACAACAAGAAAGAAAAGCTTGTAGTTAGTTCAAGGACTGTTTGTTGGCCTTTAGGAGTGTTTTCCAGTCCAGTCTGTTGGGGCACCAGGCCCTGGCCCCAAAGTCTATTTTTGGTATTGCTCTGTTCCCCTTGCTGTTCTCTTCCACGCCCTAGAGTTTTGCCTCGGTGTGGTGGGATCAGATAGAGCGCAGTTCCCACACTGTGTCTCCAGTGTTGTCCCCTGTAGGTCTATGGGTCAGTGAGGGATGACGTGTCTCACAGTGGAGCAGGCCATGTGGTCTTCTCTGTGGATTGGCTGCTCTGAGCGGGAATATCGTCCTCAGGGCTTGGTGGGCTAGGATGTGCTCCACTTTCTTTTCCTCCGCCTTCATTTGCTCCCCTGTGCTCTGATCAGACATGTGTCTCTCCCAGAGCAGCAGATTCAGTGCTGTCCTCTGAAATAAATTCTTCTGGGGGGAGGGGCAGGTGTCCACGTAGTTGGGATTGGGGGTGGCCCCCCAGGCCTCTCCAGGACATAGTTTTCAGTGATATGGATTTACCTTTCTATAGCCTTTCTGTGCCAGCCACAGACAGTAATAAAAAGAACACTAAGATTTTGGAGAAAACTTTTCAATTTAAAAATACACTTAAAAATTTTTGAGACCAAAATAAGGGGGAGAGAGAAAAAAAACAAAACAGAAGCTAAGATACTAACTTGTCCTCTGAATAGCCCACTCGGTCCATTTCTGTGATGAATGATTTACAGAGTTTATCAGTTTTTCAGAAATAAGAACTCGACTAAGATGTACTATAAATAAAAGTATTGAACTCAAAGGGTAGAACTCAGGAGTTATGAAGAAAGCTCTAGTTTCTGGAAGCTTTAATACTCTGTCTATACTTGAGTACACAGTAAGATTTGTGAACCCGTGGAACATGGAAACCGTCAGAAAAGGAAAATTCTAATAGTTTTCCCCAGCCAAGAGCAATCCAAGCATAGTATGGCTGCACCCTACTAAAGGTAGAAAGGTTGCAAGACCCAGAAAAACAAGGCAATATTATTGAGTTCCCATTCTCATGGATTTCAGTGGAAAGCATAAGCTCCTTTTTCTGGACAACTCCGCAGCACGTTTATCATTACTCATCCCAGATAGAATACAAGGAAATTTGTTCTCTGGAAGTAGATCTTTGGGACTCACGAATACCAGAGAAACTAAGGGAAACTTCAGAATACTAAGCTTACGAAGGAAAAACAAATATTGGTTGTGTGGTGTTTCTTTTCAGATAGTGAAGACTCGATTCCTCCAACCAATCTTGAAATCTACATTCCTGCTCTTCTTGAACTGAAATCTTATAACCAAATGTGTGTGTGTGTGTGTGTGTGTGTGTGTGTGTTTGAGAGAGGTGGGGAAGGAGGGAGGGAGGGAGAGATTGAATAATATAAATAGAAAGTGGTCCTCGACACTGGCACCCTGTTTTCTGGTTCACCAGTGATTAATTCTCAGTATTTTAGAGCATCTTTTGTGCTTTGCTGCTGAACAAACAATAGATGTTTCTTCGGAATGGAAGCCAGAGTTCTTGGGAGCAGACCTACTGTATGTCAACACAGCTTGTTTGTGGCCAGAGAGAGCTGACTCAAGCCCCAAGCCCAATGAAAAGGTAGTGAATGGAAATGTTCACATTTAACTCACGATCTGTAACAACACATCACAACCAATATAAGGCCTTCCAAAGGTAAATTAGGACTCTGTAGCACATATGAATTCCTTTCATCTGAAATAAGTTTCTCTGTGAAATCTTGAAGCTCTTCGAGTGGATACATCAAGTATTGATTTGACAATGTAAATTTAAATTGATTGTGTGTCCATAGAAACCCTAGGAAATAGTTCCCAAAGCACAGGAAGTGAGATGACGATGTTTTAAAATTAACCATACACACCCTTGTATTTGTGTACATGTGTCCAATCTTTCTGAATCTTCTACATTTTTATACGAACTCTAAAATCCACTGCCTTCTATGCTATTTCAACTCATAGTGACCCTCCAGGACTGAGTAGAACTGCTACAAAAGATTTCCAAGGCTGTAAGTTTTACTTACTGCCTCATTTTGCCCCCACCATCCGTTCGGTTAGCAGACCTTAGAGCAACCCATAGCACTACCAGGACTTCCTATAGAATCTATAGCCTCCAAAATGAAACCAAACCCACGGCCAGCAAGTTGGTGCTGATTCATAGTGACTTTATAGGACAGGGTCTATATTCTTAAATATTAGCATACTCCTTTTTTTCCCATATAGACTTTATTTCCTAGCTTACAGAAAAATGTTGAAAATTTCATGTTAAAGTTCCCAGATGCTTTCACTCGCCCTGCACACTTTCTCTCCTGCTATTAACAACTTGTTACAATCGACAAATCAATAGTTACATGTGTGTAGAAGATTCTTTTAAAAAGGTTAATGCCTTTTCTGGGTTATATTTGTTAACATACAAGGAGTAGATTTTACTTAGTACCAACTTTTAAAATATTAATTCTTCCTAAAATTTCAGTCCCAAATCAATGTTTTAAAATAAATCTTATCATAGCATTCATTATATTAATAGTTTTTCAGGGTGAAAAAAAATCTCCAAAAATTGTAGAATTATCTCTTTTATATCACTAATTGTTTTGGAAATTTGAGTGTTTTCTACATTAGCTCACTTTGGCTGAAGGACAGTCTCATGTGATGATAATTATGTCTTAGCCAACATTTTTCCTCTGACATTTCAAATTAGTTACTTTTCCTTTGACATGTGCACATAGATTTTAGTATTTCTTTGATAAGCTAAACCCAGTCTACTACATTTATCTTCTAAAACACATGAATGGGAGTGGGGAGGTTAAGTTTGCAGAGCAGATGATCCAGAAATATTTATGCTTACAAGGATGATGTTTTCTTCCTCTGCACTATAAAACTTGAGAAATCCATGCAAAAGTGTCCCCCCATAAACACTAGGTTACTGAAAATACACTTTTTCAAAAGCT